ACATTTTCATTTTGAAAAACAACGACATGATTTAACCCCACACAACGGAGGTATACGGTTATCGATATCGAAGAGAATAGAGTTTGATTCCACCCTATCGGGGGTTACGCCCGCTCTACCCCGTGGATGATATAACGCTATTGGCCGTGGCGGGCAAAATGACGACGTCAGCCGCCACAACTCACATCCCTCCCAGGTCCCTTTGAATCCTCCAACCCCTCTCAAAATTCTCCCTCCACTCGATCGAGAGAGACAGAGATAAAATAATGACGTTTGCAAACGCAACCGTGTCGCGTACATCTCGTGGAAAATCGTTGGACACGCATGGACAGCAATATAAAGGTGGGGATGGCAACTCGTTCTCGGGGAGAAAATAAAAAGCAAAAATAACGGGGTAAAATATTCACCGGTTGAATTCCACTGCAACACAATATGCGAAAATTCGGAATCGACACTTCCCAATTGCCCGTAAATCCCACAACTTTATAATTTTTTTTCTCCGTTAAAATCGGAGTATCAGCGATTGAAATTGATTTAAAATACTCGGCAATATCTTGGGGAGTCCATTTTATGATTTGTCATTTTAATTTGAAGTGATTTCGACGAATTTCTTGATTATAGAACGAAATTCCGTAGATGCCACAGGGTGAAAGTTGATCTGGCGGAAATAAAAATAGTATATTCTTCACCAAGGGTGGAAAGTCAGGTTTTCCGTTTGTCAACATGCCTGCAAAAGAAACTCGTGTTTTACCGTTTAAAAAACAGGAGAAAAGTGAATAGTTTCCGCCCTAGGATGGAAAGTCACTCCCAAGTGCGGAAAGTCTTGACTCAGACCATATACCCATTTACCCAAAATTTCGAGATATTTCGATTTTTCGATTTTCCACTGAAATTCTTGTCCCCTCACTGGCGATCGTAAATGTTGAGATAAGGACTGATATAGGCTCATTTTTCTAATAGGTTTTGACACGAAAAAAAAAATTTCAGAGTCTTCATGGAGCATTTGTTCATCCAAAATTGATAGAGGGGACATGAGAGTCTTGTCCTGGGGTGGCTTTTCACTGAAATACGATGAACTCTATAATGGCTCATAGATAGAGTCGTCGAGGGCCTTTTGGAGGATCCGACCGGGGGTCCCCACTTACACATTATTATAAATCGTGTGTTACATTGTGCTTAGGATTCCTCGTGACTTTTGACACCGGGACTTTGCATTGTTGGTGAACACCTTTTGTGTGACTTTGTGACACACGCACACATCAAACAAACAGGAGCTTCAAACACGCAGACGTTTAATAGTGTATGCGAATGAATTTCCAGAGGCCACGAGTTAATATAGTTGCAGGGATCAGCAGCTGTTTACAAACAATGGATTTTGCAGCGAGAGGGGAACCCCGGGAAACTTGATCTGTTTATTTATTAATAGTGTTATCCCTCGGCGAATGCACCGGTAACTTTCGACGGGGTACAGGCAGATCCTGAAAAAAAAATTTCTCATTCACCGGAATGATCTGTTAATTCCAGAACCTCTCCATCCGATTTTTTCTTGAGGGGGAATATTTTAGATTTCACTTGATTCACTCGGCGGATTTCGGGGGAGATGTGAATTACCGAATGGCCCTGATTATTTATTGATTTTACTACTTACTGAAAGCAGAAGAAAATTTTCCATTTTTTGTATTTTCGCGCTGATTAAAATTCGATTAAATTGTAGATTCTAAATAATGAAATTGGAAGAATAATTTTGGAGTACCTTCTGAAAGTAATTTTCATCTCCGTAAAATAAATGTTGATTTTCTGTCTGCGGAGAATTTTGACTGGTGAATTTAGCATAATCAAGTTAAAGGCAAAAGAGTAAATTCGTTGGGTGGTGGTATTGTTCTCCGTGTGCATTACGTCGAGAATTCTGGTTCAAAGAGGTGTGGTGGCATATCAGAGTACACCTTTTCCAGCTATTGTCCTTTAATCCAGGCGTCGGGCGGAGTACAATGGGTGAAAAGCCAGTGTCAGGCGTATTGTATCCTCTTGGTTCTGGCTCTTGAAATGGTAGATAGACCCGGAGACTAGCTATACCTTGGCCCAATCCTCTCAGACACGTTACGACCGCCAACTTACGCAACCATCTGTCCGTAGAACCGCTAAATTCACCCGAAACTCCAGAGATTTCCCATGTCCCCAGGCCACTAATTCCCCATAGCCTATTCCCCTTTCTACCCATTCTCGGATGCAAACATATTACCTTGACATTGTTCCATTATCATTGATTATTACCCAATCCTCCCTTTTTACTCCATTCAAAAATAATCCCCAAACCGTACATATTTTTATTTTAATTGGTGTAGCACCAATTAATACCGTTACGTGTCTCTATTACTGAGGAAAATAAAACAAATAATAATTTATTAATTAATTCATTTGCAAAATGTCGTTCACGGCAGAGATAATGTCTTTTATCAGGGGAATCAGGGAAATGCAACGGGCGACTTGAAAAGGGCCGCGGACTCATCAACTTTATTCCGATATGACAATGGTATTCATATCAGCTAGTGCATCAGAGAAATGAAACAAAAGTCAAGTAGAAAGGGAGTGTACACCAGCCAAAGCTCTGTTCTGGAACCACAAACTTTAATGTTAGCATTACTTTCATGCGCGACTTTATGCCAAGTATCCCATCAAATATATGACCCGGCGTTGCCGCTTCCCCAGGAACCTTCCGCTCCCCTCGTCCTCACCGCTTCAACTAAATTATTGCGAATAAAACTTTATACTCAAATTACCTCTACGCTAACTTTATCGCATTTCATCCGAGCGCTCGTACGGGATACGCTCCTCAATTCATAGGTACGGTATGGATGCTACATCCGTAATATCAAAACGCAATCCGTCGTTGAGATATTTTTGCCTCTTAAATCCAGCCATTAATTCTTATTCAACTTCTTGACTCTTTTTGTTTCGACTGAGAATAAAATGAAAAAGGTCGCGATCCTTTAATCCAGTCAAATCTTTCTGGGGAATTCGCTGTTTCAAGATTTTTTGCTCTCAGATAGAGGAAAATTATTTTCATTTGAGGGGAGTGGTAACTCGGATTAACGAAAATATTACTGTTGGGAATAGTTAAAGATAGTTAAGGAGTTTAGTTCTCAAGGAGACGTTTGGGAGAAATCCGGAGGCGTCGGGGGACATATACTTTATTCCCCCTCCATAACTTTGTACCATACCTATGTACTCACCCATCAAATGTGAGTACCAAAAAAAAAATTGTCCTCTGTTGCTCCGATAAAAATAGCTAAAAAATATATTTTTATTTATTTTTCCAAGGAGCTATTTTACAGAATTTAATACTCAATATTGATGACTCATTTCATCTCTTAATGAGATTAATTTCGATTTTTATTGATATTGATATTGAGTACAAATAACTTTTAACAAAATAGTTTTGAAAATAGCATTTTTTTTTCAACAATCATCGTTTTATCATCGTCCATGAAAAATCCAGGAATGAAAATGAACTATCGCGCTTATATTTTCTTAACTCTCGATAGATTATCCACTGGCCATATGGCAATCTAATAAACCTGATTTGGCGTAAACGGCTTATATCACAGGTGCAACTGGCAACTCGTTATCTTCGTGGTATCTGATATAATTAAATCCAGAACTTCAAAACCGCGGACATGTCGATGGCCTTTTAAAATCCACAATAGCCCGAAGACCGTAACATATAATTATCGTTGATATTAAATTATTTAGAAAATTACTGTGCAATTTTCATGAGCTATTTGATTCCAAATTGACTGGAATTCCTAGCTTTCAGTTATTTATACAAATCCCGGGGTATTTTACACGAATAGCAATACAATTTCTCAAGTTTCCAATTCTGCAATATTTATTTAATCATATATTTTCTAAAATTCATGAAGTCTGGTTTAACGAAGGCAAAGAATAATCAAACTTCAATAAAAAAAAAAATCGAAAATCGAAATAAAAAATTGAAATAAATAAAACCAATAAATTGGCGAATAGAATTTTTTTCCCTCGTCTTACATTCTCCAGAGTAATACTCCGATTTATTTCGAGTTATGAATAATTTCTGGAAATTTCTGGAATTTCTGGCAATAAGTGGAGCTTGAAATTTGATAGTCCTAATGACTGGTAGATTTTCCCTTCCCCCTGCGGAGGCATGCCACGATAAGGATAGTGGCTAATTGCTGCGAATTGGCGAAGGTGGTGAATGAGAGGGCGCAGAGCGATATACACTCACGAATGCGAGTCTGTGGCTTGTTCCAGAGGGCAACAGGTGTCATCTGATTGATCGCCGACGCTCGCGGAGCCCCCGCGATTACCTAACCCGCAAACACATCGCCACGGGAATCGTCTAAATGTCGAGACATTACCACCGACCCATAATATGCGGTATCCAGTGGCTATCGGATTCTTTACCCCGTCGGTGTGACAATTTGTGACTGACAGTGAGGGATAAAAAAAAATAGATAAATCGAAGAATCAGCGCGTGGAACCGCGTACCAATACATCAGGGATAATAAGCAGTTACACGCGAGAATAAACTCGGTTGGTTAGTCTCTCGAGTTAAACTGTGATTATGATAACTTTGCGCCGCGTCATCGACGTCCTGTGTACAATATATATTGGCTGACGCGCGAAGTGACCCGCGTAATCTTAATTAATGATCGTGCCAACCCTCCCATCCGCAAACCCGCGGCGAATCGAGCGCGGACGTGCCATTTATCATCGCAATCTATGAGCATATGAAATGTTTAAATACAGTGGTTGGTTTTTCCATGATTGACCCCACAGTCAATTGTAACGTGGGGGTTTATTGTCAGGATTTTAATGAAGATATTCTATTCATTATGTTGATCAAACCTGAATTGGTTGTGGTAATTGTAGTGAAATCAGTTCAATTGATAATAATTACACGTTTTTGAGTGATTTTGATTAAAATGTGGCTAATGATTCGTGTTTTATTGGGATTGTTTCAGAATTGTGAGGAATAAGGCAGCAGAAAAAGCGAAGCATGCTCATCAGCAGCAACAGGCGCAGCAGCAGGGTCAACCGCAGGGTCAGCCAGGTTCAGGTGGTTCTGTATCAGTGATAGCGCATGCACCGGCAACGGCGGCTGGCATTCCAACCAATGCAACAGCACCAAATGCCTACAGCATCAGCGGTATCCTCGGCATCCCCGCACATCATCAAGATCCAAACGGCAATAGCATCAAACGAAAACGCACTGACGACGGTAAGCACAAGTCACTCATATCAATCGACCATCAAATGATTCATATTTAATTTACGGGATAAATAATATCACGAGTGGCAATTTATACCCACTGGGGCATCAGTCAAATGTCCGTAGGGCGCACGTGTTGCCATTAATTTTCCTGTCATTGCGTGAATACTGTGTGCGTCCAAAAATATTCATGGCACGTGGCACCTCGGTTCTCTCTTCTCCTTTTCATGAAAAAATTTACCCACATTATCAATTAATCTTTCTTCAAATTTTTATAATTTTCGCAATTAGTGTTCCTCGAATTCTTGAAATTTTATTTCATTTCAAATTTAACTGGGGGAGACATGACACAGTAGTCTCGTTTAAATAGACATTTCAACTCGAATAAAGCTGGCGAATTAACTTGAGTCGAGTTGAAGTCGAAATTCGGAGTCGAGTTGATTTTTTTGAGTCAAATGGTACCGTTGGTGTCGCAAGGTACGCCAATTTCTTAATCTGACAGTCAACTGAGATATTCACACCGTCCCATCGAAAATTTGCAAAGTGTACACTCGTGACGTACATACGGGTAATTCGATATAATTCCATTATGAATGCTCTGTGATATGCGATTGAGGGAAGTGGCGGTGGCACGAGCGAATGCGGTGAAAGCACTCAATGCTCTCCCCTCAGGCAAAACACGGCGTCGGAGAGTGTGCGGTTCGAGGGTGTAGGCATGCATTAGATTATAAACTTCACAGACCACAGCCCCCTCGGGCGTACCATATAATATTTGCGACGCGCCCGCAACAACGCATTAGCTCGGCCTTTTCCGCCTAATACCACCGCACTTTCCTCCACAACTCCCACTCTAATTTCTCCATATTCCCACAATCGATTATTCCCTCAATATTCGTCTGTGCCCCTCATCACTATCTCATTCACAGTGAAAAATATGGTTGTAGGAAATTTTACGGAACTGTCACGCAATTTTTCTCCGGCGTACCATCATTTTTATCTGGATTATCTCTTTTAAAAATTATGATATCGTTCACTTCGATTTTTTGTATCGATTATCGAGCCGTAATCGGTAAGCGAACTGAAAGTTCCATCATTTTTATTAAATATTTCTCTTCGTGTTCGATTTTTCGATTTTATTTTGGCGCCTCTCGTTTTTCTTTTTCTGCGACATAATGTACAGTGGTAAATTTTAATCAATCTAATGATCAATTATCGCTGATATCAATTCTATGGAAAAATTTAGACGATTTCCAAACTAATTACACGCGACCGGGGCCCCAGTCACTCTCTGTTTTTTTTTTTTTTCTTTTACCGCAATCTCACCTCGGTAACAAACATTGATACGCTTTCTAATTCTTGAAAGTAAAAAATCCCTCGAGAAGAGGAACAAATGGCGAATAACAAAAAATTCAGTCG